AGAATTCAAAAGCATGTGCTGGTTAGGCATGATGGGTGCTCTCTGGAACTTTTCAGATGTGTTTCCTTTTTTCCAGGTTCCCCTGTAGGAACATGCTCCGAAAAGTTCAGGGCCCACATATGCCACAAGGTCCCTCCTTGGATTCAAAATTCCAAATGTCTTCAAATGCACCCATAGAAACCAGTTTCCAAATGTCTCAAGAGCCTGCAAAGAATTTGCCTTTCCAAGTGTGTCACAGTCCCCCAGTGAGTCCAAGAAGTCCAATGCAATCAAGTCTTTCAGTCCTTAAAAGAGACTTAGGTCAGCAAGAGTCCCAAAGTCCATCAAGACAATCAACTATACAAATGCAACCAGGTCCTGTAATGGACCCAGATTTACCAACTCTGAGAAGCCTCTTACTCCGTCCAATTCATCAGATACCTTCAATATCCTCAATGAGATCTACTTTCCAGCGTTGTCTACGACCTAGGATGCTGTCAGCTGAACATGGTGACCGACGAACCAGCCTTGCAACTCCAAAGAAGGAGAGGCAAATACGCACTGTATACACCAAAGCACAAAAGGACGTGCTCCGAGATTTTTTTTCTCGGTGCCCAAACCCACAACGGGAGGATTGCATGGAACTGGCATCAAGGGTTGGTGTGACAGTGAGTGCGATCCAGGTCTGCCTCTTTCATTTCCCTGTCTCTGATAGCCACAGTATCCACCCCCCACCCCCTTCAGACACTTAAGCTGCTCTGTGCTCTTAAATGCTTAGGACAGTTTGGAAAGTTGTGGAAGGTGAATATGCGTGCATCCAGGGCTGGACCCCACATTCTGTTTCAACCTGGGTACCAACATGGATGAATATTATTCTCCTGCAGAGTCTCAGAGACCTAGACCTCAGAGCCCATAGTACAACACAGGACACACTAACTGGATCTTTCTTTACTTTTGTTGTCAGGTCACACACATTCTATCTTACTACAATCTCTTAGGGATCTAGAGTCTCAGATTTGTCTGTTGCTGATTCAGGCAGTATTTCTTTTCCCTCCAGAAGCTTCACCTAGTACCAGTTGGGGGCAAACAGGTATTCCTCTGATATCTCCTTTGTTTTTCAGACCTGGTTCAAGAACTACCGGGCCTCATGCAAGAGGAGGAATCTCCAGAATGTTCTAGCAGCATTGCCAGAGATAAATGGAAGCTCTGAAGCTGTTTCTGAGGCAACCAATTTTCCTAGTTCTTTATCTGTTGTTGCTTCTGCCAATGGAGAGTCCATGTGTTCAGGCACATTTGGTGAGGATTCCATTCCCAAACTCAACTGCAACCAGGAATCTTCTCTCCATCGTGACCAGGCTTGTGATGGTTCTAGGTTTAGTCAGCAAAAATATCTGCTTGATGGTCGTGCCCCTGTTACAGCTGAGGACTCTGGTCAATCCATAGCAGTTGAAGTCCAGTCTGACCTAGCAGTAGCTGAAGCTCCAGTTGGCCTGGTAGCTGCCGACCAAGGCCCAGAGGATGCTCAAGGTTCAGGTCCATCGGCAGAGGAACTCTGGCAAAAGATCCTTGAAGATTTTGACAATTCAGATGACTGGCTTACTATGTCATATCATCCAGGCTGCAAGTAACGCCTCCCAGCGCCTTGACCAATCCAGGCCTTTACAGCTAGGGAGAAGTGTTAATGCACATCCTTAATCCCAGTATTTGTGGAAATTAACCAGGCCTATCTGTTGAAGATTCCTACCACTGTGGTTTATATAGTGGGATTGTTTTGAAGTCAGTTTAGTTATTTGTTCTTTATTGGTAGATTATATGTTCATTAAATAAAAGGAGAAAATAGTTACTACAAAATTCTTTTAATACATTTTTTTTAAATTTCCTCAGTTTCTGTTGTTATGTCTCCCTTTTCATTTCTGATTTTGTTAATCTGGATACTGTTTCTATGCCCTTTAGTTAGTTTGTCTAGAGGTTTATCTACCTTATTTATTTTTCTCAAACAACCAGCTTTTGGTTATGTTGATTCTTTGTATCTTTCTCTTTGTTTCTATTTATTTTATTTCTTCCCTGACTTTGACTATTTCCTGCCTTCTATTCCTTTTGAATGTCTTTGCTTCTTTTTGTTCTAGAGCTCTCAATTGTGCTGTCAGATTACTAGGGTAGGATCTCTCCAATTTCTTTACCAGGGCACTTAGTGCTCTTAGAACTGCTTTCATTGTGTCCCATAAATTTGGGCTTGGCATGTCATCATTTTTATTGAATTCCAGGAAGATTTTGATTTCTTTTTTATTTCTTCCCTGACCAAGTTATCATTGAGTAGAGAGTTGTTCAGTTTCCATGTGTATGTGGGCTTTCTGTTGTTTTTACTGTTATTGAAGACCAGCATTAGGCCATAGTGATCTGATAAGGATGCATGGGATTATTTCAATGTTCTTGTATCAGTTGAGGCTTGTTTTGTGACCAATTATGTGGTCAGTTTTGGAGAAGGTACCATGAGGTGGTGAGAAGAACATGTATTTGTATTAGGGTGAAATTTTCTGTAGATAATCTGTCAAATCTATGTGGTTCATAACCTCTATTAGTTTGACTGTGTCTCTGTTTAGTTTCTGTTTCAATGACCTGTCAGTTGATGAAAGTGGGGTGTTGAAATCTCCTGTTATTATTATTGTATGGGGTTCAATGTGTGAGCTTTAGCAAAGTTTCTTCTTTATTTTATTTATTTACTTTTTTTTGGTTTGGTTTTTTGAGACAGGGTTTCTCTGTGTAGCCCTGGCTATCCTGGAACTCAATCTGTAGACCAGGCTGGCCTCGAAATCAAGAACTCATAAATCCACCTGCCTCACCTCCCATGTGCTGGGATTAAAGGCGTGCACCACCACTGCCCGGCAGCAAAGTTTCTTTTATGAATGTGGGTGCCCTTGTATTTGTGGCATAGATATTCAGATTTGAGGCTATCTCTTGGTGAATTTTTCCTTTGATGAGTATAAAGTGTCCTTTCTCATGTTGTTTGAAAACTTGGTTGAAAGTTTATCTTACTGGATATTAGGATGGCAACTCCAGGTTGTTTCTCGAGACCATTTGCTTGCAAGACCTTTTTCCATCCTATTCCTCTGAGGTAGTGACTGTATTTGTTATTGAGGTGGGTTTCTTGTATACAGGAAAATGCTGGATCCTGTTTGTGTATCCAGTCTAATAGCTTATGTCTTTTTATAGGTGAGTTGAGTGCATTAATATTGAGAGAAATAAAGGCAGATGATTGTGAGTTCCTGTTGGTGTGTGTGTGTGTGTGTGTGTGTGTGTGTGTGTAAGTGACATTACATTATGTGCATGTGGTTTTCTTCTTTGGGCTTTGTTGTGAGATATCTTGGTTTATCTTTGGTGTAGGTACCCTCCTTGTGTCGGAGTTTTCCTTCTATAATCTGCTGTAGGGCTGGATTGGTAGATTGATACTGTTTGAATTTGGTTTTTGTCCTGGAATATTTTGGTTTCTCCATCTATATTGATTGAGAGTTTTGTTGGGTATAGTAGCCTTGGCTGGCCTTTGTGTTTTCTTTGAGACTTCATGAGCTCAGTCCAGGCTCTTCTAGCTTTTAGTGTTTCTGTTGACACACAAACTGGCCCTGTGACTCCAAGAATGCCTTGAAAGGAATGCACTGTGTACACCAAAGAAAAACAGCTCCTGCTGCAAGAACGAGTGCCAGTCCCCAAACCAGAAGAAACTTCAGGAGCTGGCATCATTGGTTGGTATGACAAAGACGAAGATCAAGGTCTGCCTCAGTCCAACAACAATAATGTCCCCTTTCCCATCAGGCACTGGAATTCTGATTTTTTTTTAAAGATTTATTTATTTTATGCATGTGAGTACACTGTTTTCAGACACATCAGAAGAGGGCATCAGATCCCATTACAGATGGCTGTGAGCCACCATGTGGTTGCAGGGAATTGAACTCAAGACCTCTGGAAGAGCAGTCCGTGCTCTTAAGCACTGAGCCATCTCTCCAGCCCCCGAATTCTGATCTTCTTAAATGCTTAGGGCAGTGTGGATAGATTTTGGTGGTGGATATTCATGCATCCAATGCTGGACATCATTTTCTCCATCAACCAGATACCAATACGGATGAACATTATTCCCCTGCAAGGTCTCAGAGACCTAGACATCAGAGTGCCTACTAACACCCAGGACATACTAGCTCAATCTCCCCAGTCTTTTGGTGTCAAGTCATACACTTTCTACCTTACTACAATCTCCTAGGGATCTTGAGTCTCAGACTTCTATGTTTCTGACTCATGTAGTGTTGCTATAGAAATACCTTACATCCCAAAGCTTCACCCTGTGGTCCAGCTAGGGAAAACAGGTATTCTTCTGATGTCTCCTTTGTTTTTCAGATCTGGTTCAAGAACAACCAAGGTATGTACAAGCAGACGAACTCCAGAATTTTCCAGAAGGTTTGCCAGGGGTAAATGGAAGCTCTGAAGTGTTTTCTGACTCAACCCATTTTCCTGGTTCTTTATCTGTTGTTGCCTCTGCCAATGGAGAGTCCATGTGTCTAGGCACATTTGATGAGGATTCCATTCTCAAACTCAACTGCAGTCAGGAATCTTCTCTCCATCATGACCAGGCTTGTGATGGTTCCAGGTTTAGTCAGCAAGAATATCTGCTTGATGGCCGTGCCCCTGTTACAGCTGGGGACTCTGGCCAGTGAGTAGCAGTTAAAAGTCCAGACTGGCCTAGCAGTAGCTGAACCTCCAGTAGCCATGGTAGCTGCTGCCCAAGGTCCAGAGGATACTCAAGGTTCAGGCCCATCTACAGAGGAGCTCTGGCAAAGGATCGTTGAAGACTGACGAGTTGGAGGAGATACCTCCTGACTCTATAAAACACCTTTTGCCTCTTTGACTTATCCAGGCCTTTATAGAAAAGAAGAGGCTCATTAGTGTATTTGGGGGAAACTAAGCAGGCCTGTTTGTAGTAGTTTTATGTCACTCATTTATATAGTGGGATTGTTTAAAAAAACAATTGAAAATATTCCTTCCTTATTATTGGATTATGTGTTCTTTAAATAAAAGAAAATAACTTACTGAAAAGTTAAAAAACATGTTTTTGCCTGTGTTTTCCCACAACTATTTATACATGTGAATGCCTGCAATGCACGTATGCAACTGTCTTGCACTTGGAGGCAGTAAAGGTTATAGGACCTCCTGGAGTAAAATTATAGACAGTGGAGGTCTCACATTTGTGTTTGGAAATGAGCTCAGATCCTCAGTGAGTTCTGCTGTTGCTCCTAAGCGGTGAGCTCTCAAGGTCATTGTTAACTATATAGCAAGTTCCAGGACAGTCTAAGGTACACCAGGCACTACCTGAAACAAAAATATTGATAAGAAACTTTTCAATAGAAAATGCATTGGAGGCCAGGCAGCGGTGGCGCTCACCTTTAATCCCAGCACTTGGGAGGCAGAGGCAGGTGGATTTCTGAGTTTGAGGTCAGCCTTGTCTACAGAGTGAGTTCCTCAACAGACAGCTAGGACTATTCAGTGAAATCCGGTCTCAAAAAACCAAAAAAAAAAAAAAAAGAAAAAGAAAAAGAAAAAAGAAAAGAAAAGAAAGAAAGAGAGAAAGAAAGAGAAAAGAAAATGCATTGGTTAAGTCTAGCATAGTATAATTTTTTTTTTTTGTTTTTGACTTATACCAAGAGAAGTTGCAGGACCAATGTCTTTGCAGAGGCCAAAAAAGCTGGATAAAGCTTGGGCAGCGATAGCTCAGGCTTTTATTTCCAGCGCTAGGGAGGCAGAAGCAGTTCTGTCTCTAAGTTTGAGCCCAGCTTGGTCTATAGAAGAAGTTCCAGCACAGCCAGGGCTACCCAGAGAAACTCTTCCTAAAAAAATTAAGGAGAGAGATACAAAAAAAAAAACAGACAGATTTAAAGACAGAAAAGGAGAGAGACAGAGCTAAGCAGAGACAGACTGATTTAGATACAGACAGAGCGAGAGACAGAGACAGGTGTGGTGGCAATAAATGCAAGCAGGATAAAATGTCCTCGGAGGAATCAAGGATTCCAAAAGGAAACCAATTAAATATGCATTTAGGGCAGAATATCACCACGAAACACTAAAGTGTACAGTAAAGGCTCACTCAATGGACGTTGGCCTCTAATCACAACATTTGTTGGGCAGTTGAATGAGAAATTCATTCAACCTCAGTCATCCAGTAAGTTTGAGATCAGCCAGAAAATAAATCTGAAGCAGGGATGATGGTACTGCCAAAGACTTCTCATGAGTCCTGACTGACTGAGATTTATGTACACGTTCCCTGCCATGGAAAGGCAATCCCAGTTTATACATGTTCCTTTCCCACATCCACGTTGGACCCTGGTAGGATAATGACAAAATTCATACA